GGCAACTCACTTCCTGTAGCAACTAAGGCCCCGCAGGCATTTGACAATCTACCCGCCGCGACGCCACAAAATTCCCGCCATATCCAAGCAGGAAATCCTCAAGCTAGAGCTTGCGGTAAATAGACAGCGATCGACAGGCCTTAGCTCACCCACCACCGTTCTCCAAAAGACACAAGCTTGCAAGAATGTGAAAGTCCAGCCCGCGATAGACGACGATGGAAAAAGCCACGGGATCGTCGTGATTGGCCACCGTTCATTCCCCAGGAAGCAAGGGTACCCACCACCACCACACACCACCTACCCGCTAGGGTCCCATCCAACATACATCCTCAAGCTTCAATCCTCGTCCGCCTTTCCACCTGCACCTCCGACTTCAACCTCAGAAACCCCTCCCCCCTCCTCCGCCGGCCTTGCGAACCGCTGCCCCTCCTCTAACCTTCTCGCGACTTTTTTACTCTCTCCTTCTTCCGTCACTCTATACCAACGACCTACGAAAAAGCAGCAAACAAACCGAAGAACCTCTCACCGCATCACCGCCAAAAACCCGCCAAAATGCGCCTCCAATCCCTCCTCTACCTCCCGACAGCGCTCGCCGCCTCTCTGACCCTCCAGATCCCTTCCTCCCCGGCCCTCCCGAACCCGTACACCCTCCCGCCCTCGACCCGTGCGAGCCTCTCGGCCCTCGGCGCCTCCTTCACCGCGCCGCTCTCCGTACAAAACACCTTCGTCTTCAACAACGTCACGGCGCCTGGGTCCTACCTCGTCGACGTCCACTGCGCGACGCACGCCTTCGCGCCCCTGCGCCTCGACGTCGCCGAGGACGGCACTCTCGCCGCGTGGGAGACGTACCGCGGCAACGACTGGGACAACAAGGGCGAGGTGTACGCCTCCAGGGAGTTCGAGAACGGCGCCAAGGGCTTCGAGGTGCGGGTCCTCGGCGGCAAGAACTACTTTGTCGAGAGGAGCAAGTGTACGTTTTCTCTCAGATTTCCTCCGAAGAAAGTAAAGCAAAAGGGCTAACCGTGCGAAAACAACCGCAGTTTCCGTCTTCACCATCCTCAAGAACCCCATGATCCTCCTGGGTCTCGTCAGCATGGGAATCTTCATCGGCATGCCCTACCTCATGGACAACAGTACGTTCACGCCCAATTGATGCCATATCTTCACGGACAGAAATCACTAACGGAGGCAAACCTGCAGTGGACCCCGAGATGCGCGCCGAGTTCGAAGAACGCCAGAAGAGCAACCCTATGAACTCCCTCCTTGGCGGCGGTGGCGGTCAGCCGGGTGCGAACCCCATGGGCAACTTCGACATGGCCGCCTTCCTTGCGGGATCTGGCGGTGAGAAGAAGAGCGAGGGTTCTGCGCCTGCTCCGTCGAGCGGCGGCGGCGGCGGTAGTGGTAAGAAGGAGAAGGGCGGCCGGAGGTAGTGGTCTACCATACGGAGAGGTGAAGGGAGGTTATGAGGGGAAGACTGCAAGACTTCCGAATACGCTGGCAACAGTAACAAAGGGATGGGTTAAGAGTATTTCCTTTATATATTGATACCTATGGATCTTGAACTGAGATTGGTCCTCTGGTCTGGGACTGCCCTAGCGGACACGCTGGCTCTTTGATCGACTGGTCAATGGGCTCTGGATCTAGGTCCATGGCATATCGTGCCGCTGACTTTGAAAAAGCTTGCAGAAGTTCCGCCTACGGGTAAGATTATTTGACCCACGACGAAAAAACCATGCAACATATTACGAACATATGAATATAGAACTATGCCAGCCATCTTATATCAGAGTCATCAAGGAAACCAAGCTATTACCATGCAAGATTTCTGTATCCCGAAGGCCCCCCAATTCATCCGCAGAGACACCACTCTGGTCTCTTAAAAGTCACCACCAAAATCGTCTCCGCCAAAGTCATCACCGCCGCCGAAATCATCATTGTTATTACCGTCATCTACACCATCGTCAGTAACCGATTCTCAGAAGCGTGAAGGGGCTAGAACTTACTGTATCCCTCAGCGTACGCCTCGTGCTGCTCGTCATTAATGTGGTCCGCAAGCAGTGCGCCACCAAGCAGACCGGCACCGGCACCGAGCGCCAGACCACCGGCCATGCCCATACCGCCGCCGCCGGGCCTCTTGCCGCCTGCCATCGCCTGTCCGCGGCCGTAACCCCCGTAGCCCTGCTGCTGCATCGGATACCCGCCGCCGCCGTAGCCTCCGTATTGCGGCTGTTGTGGGGGGTAGTAGCCGCCCTGCTGCGGGGGATAGTATCCTCCCTGCTGGGGCGGATACCCTTGTTGGGGGTATCCCCCGTACTGCGGCTGCTGAGGCGGGTAGCCTCCGGCGCCGCCGTACTGTCCTTGGCTGCTGCTCCCGGTCTTGGTCTTGCCCAGCAGCTTGCCGAGGAAGCCGCCGCTCTTGCCGCGCTCCTGCACGCGCGGGGGCAGCTGCTCGGGGAAGGGGGACTGCGGCTGCTGGTGCTGCTGTTGCTGCAGGCCGTAGCCGGGGGGCATGGGGGAGTGGGAGCCGCGGTTGCGCTGGTCCTCCTCGGCCTGGAGCTGGCGGGCGAGGCGCTCGTCTTCGGATATGGCGTTGGAGGGGCCGCCGGCGCCGCCGGCGCCTGGTGGTTGCGGGGTCGAGCTGTGGTTCTCGTAGGGGTTCGGCTTCGCGTCGACGGGGTGTGGCGCGGGGCCGTCGCCCGGCCTCGGGGCGTAGCCCGGGGGAGGGCCGTCTGGGTGCTCACCGTCCGGGGGAGGAGGAGGGGGCAGGGCTGGTTCGGTGGGCTTTTCCCATTGGGACTGCTTTGTGTGGAGGTTTACGTAGAACCTGGTGGTAGGCGCGGGGTTAGTTTGGTGCGATTTGCTTCGTTTGAGGGGATTGGGGACGAACCATTCTTTGTACTGGTCATTCCAGCGGGCGGTCCAGCCGGGAGGGACTTCTGGGGCCTTGGGAGGCGGGGGGCCGGGCGGGGGAGCGAAGTTGTCGGCCATGTGTACTGAAGGCTTTGGTTTGCGACTGTGGTGTGTCGTCTGTGATTGTATGTGTGTGTATGAGGTCGAGGGTGGATGTCTGATGTCGCAGGCGGGAAGAAAAGTTGGAGGCGAGCTTTAAGCTTTCGGGGGAGGAACCAAAGGCTTAAAGAAGGGTTCTTTTTCGGTTTTGGATGGGAAAGAGGGAAAAAGAGGACGGGGTGTCAAGTGTCAGGTGTGTAATGGAGGCGCAATAGGTTGGGTATTTGAGCTGGCGCGGGAGACCGGGATTACGTCTTCAGTTTTAAACGCACTTAAGGTCCAGGTAGATCGGTACCCTCGTGGCTTGTACGGGATAGCGCCTACGTATGGACACGAACCAATGGTGCCCCTCCGCGGCAGCCGGTCTAAGGTTCTTTACACTATGATATGGACCTTACAGGTGGGTAGGTCAGGTAGGGAGGGAGGGAGCCCTGGAAGGAGGCGATGAGGCTGTGGCTCACAGCACACCTCCTTAGCTTTCGCCTGCCATTCTGACTGATTTGATTTGAATTGGCCCGACTGGATTCAGTGGAAACCAAACAAAACAGCACCTAGCAACTTCTGGAACGGAAAGTCGGGAGACACGGTGATGGATGGAGCTGTAGGGGTCTGTCCTCGGCAGCGAAAGCAACCAGCGCCCCCGTCGCCATTTGCCTTCCATCGCTCGCGCTCTGTACGTGATTGGGGCCGCTCTCTCTCCCCCGCTCATTTTCCCTCTGGGCTTTTGCTTGAGCTGCGGCCGAGTCTTGGCTGCCTCACTCCGCTGCGACGGACGTGATGCGAGATGCTGCGAAATGGCATAGCCCCTCTTTCGCTGCTGGGAACCTTACCTATCCGCCCCGCCGCCACGACACTGCACCAGCCTGGAGCTCTCTACTGCCCCTCCCTCTCCAGTGACCCGACTGCTTTAGCTGGCCCCTTCGCTTGTAGGTAAACTCGCTTGGGCATCTGCTGCTGCTGCTTCCCACTGCGACCCGGGACGCCGGAGAGCCGGCACGAAACCGCAAGTCTCGCCCATGTATCTCGCATGCGGTCTCTCGCAGAGGAGATACCGGCAAAATACGTCATCGCAGGAACCCTGCTGCATGCTCCCCCAAAAGCTCGACTGGAAACGTCTCGCACAGGCCATGCCCCCCACCGCGGGGATCCACGAGTTTGAACCCCTCCGACAACCTCCAGCCAATGCCAAGCTCCAGTGTCATCACACTCGCAGTCGCTGATGCTGCCTGTCTGCCTGCCTGTCTTTGCATCTCGCGATAGTCCAGCCTAGAGGGGCGAGAGGCAAAATGCAAACTGAACATACATGGAATTCTAACTTACAAGCTGAATACTGTGGCTGGTGCTCCCACGGTCTCGTCCAGATCCCTCTAGAAGCTCTGACGACAGTGGCCAGTGGCTGTGGCGATGTCCCAAAGTCCACACGTCAGGCAACATGCCCAGATGACAGACCGCCATCCCATCCACAAGTATTCTTCCCGCGTGGCGGTGCACATTACATTTCCGCGTCGTGGTGCTGCTACGGTTCTTTTTTACCGCCCGATAAACCACCCCTGGGCCCGCTCGGGAGAAATTGTATGAGGTGTACTGCGTACAGCAAGAAACACCTACCGGGCATGCTACGATCTTGCTCCGCCCGCCGTGCCAAGACATCCTCCGCCGTCACACAACTAATTCGCCGGGCGTTTGCTGGTTGCCCGTTGCGAATACGTCGTGGCGCAGTCGCATTGTTCCTCGCCCTCCACCACTCACACGCCCTATTGTTGAGCTTGGCACTTTCCGACAACGACAGTCTCTCTTACATAACGTAGTGAATGAACCTCGGGTTTGATTGAGCATGAGCTAAAGGTCCAAAGCGCCAAAATTGAAAAGCCAAGCATCAGTGTCTGCAACCAGACAATCTATACCATCTAACACGCTGCATGGGCAAAACTGCGTCCCGCATCCTGGCAGCTATACAATCTTCTCGATACCGAAAGCAAATAACCAATATATCAAGGCAGGCCCCGTTCGTCCCGCCTATTCCGCTCCCCAAATAGGTAGGCCGCCTCCATGCAGTAGGCGCCCCCTCCGCTGGCCATCCGCCGCTCGCTGCCGTAGCAAATGACTACCGCGTCCAGGATGCCGCTGAGAATACCTTCCATTGCGCCCATAACCGAAAACCCAATGAAACTGGCAACAAGACCAACCACGTATGCGTACGCCGACCCTCGCACTCCCATGCCGTCCGGCAGCGCGATCCTGACCTGCTTTGCCGTGATAACCCAGCCCGCAAAACCGAGCCCCGTGGCCATAATGAACCGTGTCGCGTACAGCAGCATCTTCGCTAAACGGTACGGAAGTAGAGGAGAGTGGCTGGACCGCCGTGAGCTGAACACTTGCGGTGTCAGGGTCGTGGTTGGCCGCTGCGGCGAGATGAAGTCCATCTGGCTCAACCCTCGAGCAGCCGTGTGAAGGTTCTGCGAGTGGATCGCACCGTACGTGATGGTCATCGGATTCGTGAGCGCTGCGATAGGGGTCGGGATCCACATGGCAGCAACATGTTGGAGGATGTTAGCGAACCTGCGAGGCAGCACGAGAAGAGGCGCCCGGATCAGCAGCGCCAGCAGCGTTGACTCGCAGATACTTCCAAAGATGGTCGTCGAAGCGTGGTTGAACGCCGCCGTCACAATCTCCTTCGACGTCGGGGCAGGCGCCGCGTTGCGGTGGAAATACCATTGAGATACCGTCGCAGCCGTCGTCGCTCTCTGCACTGAGTTGATCACCCCGATGGTCCACATGTACATCAGGACGAACCAAATTCCGAGCCACCAGCTAGAGACGCTGATGATGAACCTGGCCAGTCTCCTCGAGAAGTATCCGCCCAAGAAGATCCTCGAAAACATCCACATCCAAACCCACGTCCAGACCACGATGACGGCAAGGCAAGCGAAACCAAGGAGCATCAGAGCCTGGTTGGCGGCAAGGATCCTAGTCGAGAACTCGAGAATCTCGACAGCTTGCCGGATCGCGTGACGGCCCTTGTAAGCCGTGTAGACCCAGACAAACGCTGATATGGCAGGAACCAGGGCAGCCCATCGCATGGCCCTGTCTTGGAAGCTCGCTCCGTGTGTTGAGCCCTCGTAGCTGGAGATGAAAGGGTACAAAGAGAAAGAGAACATGATGATGGGCACCGCAACGAGGATCAGCATCGCAAGTGGTCGGGCGAATGATCGCAGCGCCGCGAGCCATACGAGTGACACGATGATGGAGATAAGCGTATCGACGGCCAGCATGTGGAAAGATGTTTGTAATGTCGTGTAGATGGTGTCGCCCCAGCCCTTCTTAGGTGTGCCAGTGTGAAGCCAGACGAGCACAAATGTAGATACCAAGCCAGCCACCGCGATCAGGAATATCCATGCGAAAAAGGAGTCGTACTTGAAGATCTCCCCCTCGATGAGAGGCACGGTAGCCGGCAGCGTCTCGTCATCAGAACTGGCCCTACGCGCCTCATCGAACTCGTCTTCCTGCGTGGCTTCCCTCCTAAGCTGGACTTTACGATCCCCGGATCGAGGCTGGAACTTCTGAAACGGGGCCGGGCTTGAGTCTGTCACTGCCTCGTTCAGCAAAGAGGCAGATGGGTCGTCGTCCTGGATCTGAGAGTCTAGTCCGATATCCACCATCTTAGGATTGGTGTCCGACGTTCGGTCGGAGTCCTCGCGGGGAATGTCCTCTGCTTCTTCGTCTATGACGTCCCGTCCGCGATTCCTCCCACCGAAACTCCTAGCCCCATTCCAGCTGCTGCGAATACCTCTCCTCAGCCCTCTATCCTGATACCTCCGTCCGGGTGTTTCGCTGCTCTGTTCCAGCGAGCCGCGGCTGGCGTCCGGTTCCGTCTCAGAGCTCTCTGCCATTTTGCTCGCGGCAGCCACGCGCCGTGACATGTGCAGGGCGGCCATATCCGCTGCTTCACGATCCCTCTCGTCCTCGTCGTCTTCCTCCATGTACTCATCGAGCGTGCTGTGGAACAGCGGCGCATCCTGGGCGGCGGACATGCGGGAGGCGAAGCCTAACTGCCCGAAGCGGGAGCCACCCGGTTGGTAAGGGTTTCCAGCGTAGCCTCTGCCAAGAAACGAGCGCCCGCCATTTCGTGGAGGCCGTGATGATGACCAGTCGTTCGGGTGTCGTGGTGGGTTTTCGTTGCCGTCGGGCTGCTGGCCTGCGAAGTTGGAGAGCCGCGACTGTGACTGCGCCAGGAACCTGGACGCATCTGAGGAGGACCTTGTTAGTTCACCGCATGGCAGAGAATGAGCGGTGGACGGAGGACGTACATTCCGAAAACATGGTGCTGCGGTTAGCGAGGACCTCGTCCCCTCAGAGTATTTTCGCGTGCTCTTGGACCGGTCGGAACGCGGGACGATGGGTAAATAAGGCCGGGTATCGAAGGTTGGAGAATGACGATGACGGACAGAGTTAACGGGAGGAATGTTTGAGGTGCCGGGCGGAGAAGCTAATGGTATACGCAAACAGAATACGCCGCAAGAGCAGCGAATTTTCGGGCAGACGACGTCTCGTGCACCGAGATCAGTGACCTCCAAGAAAGATTATGGAAAACAAGGCCGGGGTGCTCGTGAGAAGGGCATCCGCACCATGGTGTCGGGAGAGATGAATCGGAGGTCATGCGGTGCAGGACGAGCCGAAGTACCCAAGCAGGTAGGTGAATGAGTGGACCGGTGAGGGAAGGAGTACATGGGGGAACATGGATGGGCAAGGCAAGCAGCCCACCTCAGGCGGGCTAAGGTACCTTAGTTGGATCGTTAGGCAGCGCGGGCGCTGATGCAGCCTGGACAGTGGCACTCAGGTAGCACACGACACCCAACACCGCCCACGGGTACCTTTCTCGCTAACAATCCAGCCACTCAAAACATGGGTTTCCAGCGGAGGGGACGTGGGAGACACCCACCGCCGGCACTTATCGGACTTGTCGATGGCGATAAGGCGGCACGTCTGGCGCATTGCGCAGCGCAGCGCAGACGGCTGTGGACCGCTTTACTGCATAAGGTAGTCCCTAGTTCTGCGTCCGCCTCATTTGCACCATCAAAAGCATCTCCCAGGCTCCTCCTGCTTGACTGCTTACTTACCACAACAAGTACCGTACATGGCATAGCATGACCTCCCCGGCTGGGAATCCCGAAAACCGGTGGTGAGTGGAGGAGGGAGGGAAAGGTATCCTTCAAGGTAAAGTTGCATGCAGGTTGACTTGCATCAGAGATCCAACCAAAAGTCAAACAAAGGCGCAATGCAAAGGAGAGGACTCGCGCAGTCTTTGACCGTTTGAATCAGCCTCAGGTCAATCACGGTCAGCTTTGTGGCTCCTGTTGCCGTTTCTTCTCGGGTTCTTGAGCGATGCCGGGCTGCCCCTTTTGTTGTTGCTATTGCTGCTGCTGTTGCTATCGCTATTGCTGCTGCTGCATGGCACTGACCTGTCCCGGCGTGAGACACAGCAACCCGCCCAGCCCGCATCCCGAGTCATTCCATTCAGTCATGGCCAGCCTACCATCGTCAACTGACTGCTGAGTCCGCTGCCACTCCTTTGCACCGCACCTAGCGGGTAGACGTCGACGGTCGGCTTGGTTCCTGCCAGCCACCACCCGTTGCCCTTGCCGCCCTCTTGCTTCTCCTTATCGCCCTGCACTTGCGTCACTGATAACACCATGCTCATCCCTGCCGCACTCCATTCCCTGGTCATCGGTCCACCTTTTAATTGGGGCTCTGTCGTCTTCTGGCTAGCCTGTGACAGGGGCCCGTCTTAAACATCATCCAGCGTGATACATACCTCGCCATTTCATTCACCATTGGAACGCCATCCTCCACGAACTTTGCAACCAGACTATCTTTCTTGGGTGCTCTGTTTCCTCGAAGCTGCCCCGAAGTAGACCTTAGCCGGCAGCTACCCTCGAACGTTTCCTCGTGGAGAGACGGGAGACCAGCATCAACGAGAACAGACGACAGCCGTGGAACATTTTCAAATCCGCTCCTGCTCTCAACCCCTTGTCAGCCTGCCAGCCAGGCCTTTTCTGAACACGTGCTCCGACAAACCACCCGATAGCTACAACGGCCTCTGACGCTTTCCCGACATCAGACCAACCAACGAAACAACGCCCATCCATCCCCTCCGAACCATCAGCAAAGCCCGGTCTCGCGGGCAATAGAGCTCACCCCCTACATCTCACACGGACGACATCACCGTTCTTCCACCCCCTCCTTCTTCGCTCCCGAACCCTTCGACCCTACCCGCACACGCATCACTGCAAAGGGCCATGTCGTCTCCACCATGGGATTATATCGCTAAGCTCGTCTGCATTGGCGACTCGGGCTGCGGCAAGTCCAGCCTCACCATCCGTCTCTGCGAGGGACGCTTCTCCCCGCACCACGACGTGACAATCGGCGTCGAGTTCGGCTCCCGCATCGTCCCCGTGGGCCCCCCGAAAACCCAGCCCGCGCCGCCCCTCGCCCGCCCCTCCTCCCAGAAGACCAACAAAACAGATGATTCGGTTTCGAACGGCCTGCCCGAGCCCCCTCGCCTGGCACCCGAACCCGTCGACCCCGACGCCCCGCAGAAGCACATGAAGCTCAGTCTGTGGGACACGGCCGGCCAGGAGACGTACAAATCCGTTACCCGCTCCTACTTCCGCGGCGCCAGCGGCGCCCTCCTCGTCTTCGACCTGTCCCGCAAGCAGACCTTCCAGCACGTCACCGACTGGCTCAACGACCTGCGCCAGATCGCCGAGCCCGACATCGTCGTGATCTTGGTCGGCAACAAGGCCGATTTGACCCAGGAGGCCGACAACAAGCGCGAAGTCACTCGCGAGGAGGCCGAGGACTGGGCCAAGAAGAATGGCGTGTTTGAGTACGTCGAGACGAGTGCTAAGAGCGGCGAGAATGTCGAAAAGGCGTTTATGAGAGTTGCCGAGAGGATATATAACAACATCCAGGCCGGCAAATACGACCTTAATGACAGACGATCCGGCGTCAAAGGACCCAGCGCCGGCGGCAACAGGCAGGTCAGGCTAGGGGGCGACGCAAGCAAGGGATCCGGCGGCGGCTGTTGTTAGATAGGGCCGCAAGAGAAGAAAACAAAATCGTACACGGGAAGGACAGTGATACCCAAGGTCAGGTCATCAGCAAGTATGAGTTTTTTTGCAAACCCCCCAAGTGACTTCTCTGTTCGTCCATCATTGTACTATTACTATAATTTTAATACACGTTCACGTACGCAAGCAAAGCGGACTATTTATCCTCAATGGAAGCAAGAAAACAGTTCATGTTGCATTATGTACGGAAGTCTCTTTCCGCCGTCTACCTCCTCTTCATCTTCCCCTATCTCAAGATGTATATCTTTACGTCGACGCGCTCATCATCGCCCATATCCTTACATAGAGTTGGGTGGGGAAAATGGAAGTTTGTTTTCGCCCTTTCAAGTACAGGGTCCATCCATGGACCGGTTTGATAGAAGAAGCCTCCACCATAGATTACCTCCAAGAGTGCTTTAGTCAGACATCCTCCAGGTATCGAACCACTTCATGTAGCTGTACTGCTTGTTGGGGCCCGTCATGCCGAAGCAGATGGGGCTGAACAAGATGTAGAGACCAATGACAGCCGCGTACAGCGCTCCGTAGACGCCGTACTGGATGGCCTGCTGCTTGTTGCGGAGGAACCAGTCAGCCAGGAAGCCGAAGGTGAGGATGGCAAAGTAGAGCGCCGGGTAGTAGTGGTGGACGTAGGTGACGCGAGCCATGACGATGAAGGGGAGGTAGTGCAGGACCCAACCGGCAACGGGGTAGACTCCCGCATAGTGGATCTGGTCAAGCTCCTTCTCGTTCAGGTCGCTGTAGCCACGCTGCCAGCGGACGAGGTACCAGAGGACGACGAGGCCGAAGACTCCAAGGCCGGCTGTGCTACCCCAGTAGACGAGGGGGTTGCCGAGCAGAAAGTACTTGACGATGCTGTCGTCCCAGCCGCACATGCGCAGACCAACGTGCAGGATGGGCCACTGCCACCACTGGGAAGCGAGGTCATCCTGCTTATCAGGGTCGGGGACCAGGGCGTTGTTGGAGGTCATCATGGCGACGTTGAGGTGGATGAAGTCGTGGAGGAAGGGAGACTTGTAGGAACCGGCATCGGCGGGGGGGACTAGGTTTAGGTTAGCAAGGGCTGTATCGTAGTCTGCATTGATGAGCGCTTACGCTTGTCGTTCCAGTGAGCCTCGACGTTCCAGTGGGTGTAGGTGTCCTTGGGGTTGTTGGTCTTGGTGCAGGTAACCTCGATCTGCTTGAAACCCCACTGAGGCAGGTTCACATTTCCAGCGCGAAGGTAGCAGCCGAGGACCGGGTGTCTAAGGCGGAATGCGGTGGTGAGAGTGCGGATGCGGCTGCGGTCGCGCGAGGCAACATCGCGAACAACCTCAACCTGCCAGTGGTCCTTGTCATCGCCGATGGTCAGGTTGCCGTAGGAAGAGACCTCCTTGTCGGCCTTGGTAATGGGGGCGGCGATCTCGTGAGAGTGGAGGTTGCGACCAGTCTGGGCGTGGATCAGGCGGATGGTGCTGCCGTCGCCAATGAAGCGGACGGGAGCCTCCGCGTCGTAGTCCTCGTCGTGGCGATTGGGGTAGAAAAACCAGTCGTTGTTGGCATCCTTGTGGTGGTAGCAAGTGACCTGCTGCTGGCCGGAACCTTCGGGGTAGGTCTGGACGTGGGAGTGAAGCAGACCACCTCCGTAGCCCATGTTCTTGATCGTGGCGCGAGATCCGTAGGCAATCTCGAGAGGGCTGTTCTTGCCGACCTCGGTGCCCTTGAGGTTGGCCTGGAAGAGGGAGCTCATCTGCGCATCGCCAGGGCCGGTGTGGTCGAGAATGGCGAAGTGCATGGCGAAAGTGAGCATGTAAACCAGGAACGGGAGGATGATGAGGCCGACGACGCGAGTAGCGACATGTGCGCCGAGGGTAGTGACGGGCATGCGAACATCGCCGAACTTGTTCCAGAGGTCCTCAATGGTGTAGAGACCAACGAGGGAAGTGACGAAGAGGCCGACGAGCTTGACACTGCAGACACAGCCAATGCTGAGACCCGTCATGAACAGCCAGAAGAACCATTCGGGCTCGAAGGAGTTGTGACGCTGGTTGTGGAACTTGGACCAGCAGAGGACTGTGGCGAAAGTTCCGCAAAGCAGCATCGAGTCGAGAAGGATGAAGCGGCTGATGGTGGTGTAGGAGTTCTCGCACAAGACCATAAGGGTGACGAGCCAGACGGCGGGGCGTCTCAGCTTCAATTCGCGAGCAGTGAAGT